TGACTGTGCTTCAGAGTCGACTAAAAACTACTTACAGTTATACAAAGTTTATCATATTTGACTGAAAGTGATGCTAATTCACTGCGTGCTGACTCAACTGCATGTCTGTCTCCAAGATAAACAGTTTCAAGCTGGAATATTGAAAAATTATAACAATTATAAAGAGACATAAAACTTTATTATTTCCACCATCTCTCAAATTTGGTTCATTTGATTTTATTTCACTTTTTTTTCAAAATTTATTTCATCAACATTATGGTGAATTTCTTATAATTTCTCTTCACCATCAACTTATAATTTAGCAATACCTTACTGTGAAAAATAATTATCTGAATTAAAAGTATGTCACAATTAACTTTCCTTTGAAATATAGACATTAGAAACAAAATTTTAAATACCCCTCAATATACAAAATGTATATTACTTCTTTGAAATGCTGAATTCTTCCATTTCGCTAACTGATTTTTTATATTTTTATGAAGCATCAACTATAAATGTATATCAATTGACCATTTATTTTCCTTTAATTTAAAGTTTTGCAGCTGATTTTTTCCCCAAAAATTATAGTGTGTACATGTGTTAATCAATTAACCTACCACTTGTAAATTTTGTTTTAATTTTATGAAAACCTGTTTTAAAAGACTTTAAGATATAATATAAATATTTAAGGTATTTTAAAGAGATCTGTAGAAAGAAAAATCACCTAAGCAATATTGATTATGATATCTTACAAATGTTTAAAAAGACCCAAATGAAAATTTCAAATATATGATTAAGTTGTTAAATAATAAGTATGAATTAAAACATTTTCAATATCAACATTCAAAATGAAATGTATTAATTATTTATCTAAAATTGAATTACATTGCCTAATTAGCTAAAAGAACATGTGATAGCATAGGAATTCATTGTTTTGTACATAAATCAGGCCGTTAGTTTTCTTGTTTGAATTATTTTACATTTGTTATTTCGGGGCTTTTAAAGTTTTTATAGCTGACTATGCGTTATAGGTTTTGTTCATTGTTGAAGGCTGTACTGTGACCTATAATGGTTAAATTCTATGTCATTTAATCTCTGCATGGTGAAGTGTTGTCTCCACATCTTCTTATTTTTCTATCTATATTGCATAAACAATAAATGTTTAATCCGCAATTGTCATTTAAGTGAAATACAAGTAAAAGTAAAAGGGAGAGAAATTGTGAGATTTTCTCTCCCTGTCAGGAGCATGGGCTTCTGAAGGAGATTTCCATGTACACAAGAAAGTATCAGGAGGCTCCCATAATATCCACCTATTGTTCCTTTCTACAATGAAATAAAATATTTTTATAAAACTGTCAATATTGTTTCTTAGATTTTTAAAGCTTTGACATAAAAACTTACCCTGTAATTATCAGCTCCTGATCTCATTGGAACTGAACTTGATTTTGGAACATTTTCCATGCTACAAATAAAACCATACAATTAATTTGACAGACAATTCAGAAAACATAATGAAAAACCTATAGCAATAATATACTCATTATACAGACAGTTTATGACAGTGTTTTTTGGCAGAATGAGGATTTTTAAAAATTACTCAATGTATTAAGATTGCCGAAAATTATTTTAAAATCATGCTGGATTTCCAATCTAATTAAAATTAAAATCTTCAATTGCTCCCATTCTGATAAGTCACGCATCAATGCATGACATATCAGAATGGGAGCAATTAAAGGATTTAATTTTAATAAGAATGGCTGAATTTCCAACATATCAATGCAACTTTCCTGAAAAAATGTTCTTTCCAAAAATATCCATTATTGAAACCACTGTCAAACATTTTTTGTCAAAAGTCATCAAAAATACCAGGCTTGTAATCCAAAGTTGTTTTACAAATTAAAAGGTGAGTCTAATGTTGTCCTTTTTAATTTTGAGGCAACAGTAAATTTGTGAGATCTGATTTGTTGCCATAAGAACTTGGTGTAAAAATGTTTCTTTTTGGGCTGATTCTGATATAAACAAAAAATAAGATTTATCAAATCATTTGAGACTCAAAATTCAAGTTATTAAATTGCAAGAAGAGAACCATTTTTTTACAGTGGAAATATGTATTATAGTATAGAGACAAAAAACCATTAAACACTGCATTCTTTTTATGATCAAATTTGCTGGCTCTCAAAAAATTGCTAAAGCAAGCAAAAGATGATGATGATGAATTGGTGTTAAACTCCTATTAGAAAGTATTACATACATATCAGGACAAAAAATGTTGGTGTGATATGAATATGAACCCTATTTTGTACTAGACTGACATGATGGTCAAGTCTTTGTTCTTAAGTCTAAATGCCATGTGCTACCCGGAGAAGCAGCAAAGACCAATTTTTAAGTCTTTGGTATGACAAGGCCTGGTATCACATCCACAACCTCAAAAACAAAAGAAATCACTGACATTGACAAAACGATTTTCTCTGTAAAAAAAGTCTTTATCATGTTTATGTATTATGTATAATTGATGCTCCTGTAGCACAGTTACTACGTCTGAGTTTATATAATAAAGTGTAAAAGAAAAGATTTTATAATAGAATGTATTATAAATGTGGTTCTATCATTTCAGAGAAAAGATGCTATTTCAAATCCCATGGTGCTATTTGAAAATACTGGGGAGAACACTGCATAAAAGAAATTATCATCAAAAATCCTAATATCTATATCTAAAATATTTACCTGACTAACTGCTGTATCAGTGCATCTTTCTTTGTCAGCTCATCTTTAAAAACTCTAACTTGATCTTGTAACTGAATAAAGATTTATATAAGTGTAACTTGATCTTGTAACTGAATAAAGATTTATATATAAGTGCTAGATTTAAACAATAAAAAAGAATTCTTAACAATACTGTTTCCTCTCTTTTCAGATTTTGAAATTGAATTAGAAGATGTTATAAAATTACACTGTCCAGCATGTAAATAACTAATAACACAAATATATATAAATTTATAAATTCAAGACACCTACAATGCTACCATTTATAAGATAATAAGATAAGAAAACTTTATTTTGATTCGGCATGGTTTAAAACATACAAACATAAGCTCTTGAGAGCTTTTCACCGAATATATAAAACAAAACACATAACATAAGACAGATATTTGCTGTTGCAACCAATAGTCACGGTCATTTATATAGCTTAGGTTGACATACATGTAGCATCAAACATCTATTAAATCTATTACAGGTATTTTATGAACAATATGCAAACAAACAAATATCTTATTTGGCACTCAGAATGAGCAGAATGATACTTGGAGCTAAAATATATTTTGTGACCAATTATAAAAATAGGCTCATTTGACATATTCAAATGAATGGAAGCAGGACAAATCGCCCCATACCAAATCGCCCCACTTTTAAAAAAATCGCCCCAAACTGGTTTACCAACTCGCCCCACTTTTTAAAAAATCGCCCCACTTGTGAAAAGGGTTAAATCCCATCGATTTTTCTCCTGCCAACTCTCCCCACTTAAATGAAAACTAATCTACACAGAATACAAAAAAACGAAAATTTATTAGATTATTATGATCTATTATTATTGAAATTAAATGATGTTTCACTTTCTTAAAATATAATTGTAAATACATTATTCATTATCATGTAATTTTCGTATTATTGGAGAATAACTTTATTCTTGTAAGCCTAGTTATTTGCATAACAATTGAAAGAAACCTGATAATTGTATCATAATCCGATATTTTATCATTACAATTGAAGGATTTCATTACAGTTTTATTCTTTTATTCATAAGTGGGGCTAGTTGGTAGGCTTTAATTCTGTACATACTTTTATTTATCAGTGGGGTGAGTTAGCAGACATAAATTCAACGGCATTACTTCCTTAATCATAAGTGGAGCGAGTTGGCATGACTCAATTCATCAGGATTTTCTATTTTTCATAAGTGGGGCTAGTTGGCATTCAAGTCGCAGAAATACTGATACTCACTTCTTTCTGCTTTATTTCAACAAAAAGAAAAGAACTACAAAAACATGTTTATCTAAGTTTGTATAGGTATTGATTTTATTTATAAGTGGGGCAGGAACATAGATGTACAACGGGATTGCATCTTTTTTCATAAGTGGGGCGAGTTGGCATTACTGAATTCATTGTGGTTTATCTATATGTCATGAGTGGGGCGAGTTGGCATACCTTATTTCAGCGGGATGTTAACCCTTTTCATAAGTGGGGCACGTTATCCAACCTATTTTCAATGGAATTTATCCTTTTCATAAGTGGGGCGAGTTGGTAAACAAGAGTGGGGCGATTTTTTTTAAAAAGTGGGGCGAGTTGGTGAAAAAGTGGGCGATTAGGTGTGGGGCGATTTGTCATGGATTCAAATAAATCATTATCATACATTTATATCAAGTTAATAAATCATTACATTTATACAACCCCAATAGTACACAAAATTAAAACAACAAATTTACTTCACATTTTTTTTCAAGTGATGTATATTTGAATGATATTTGTAACTTAAACTTTTGAAAGTAGAGAGTCTCTATTTACTTAAGAAAATTGAAACCAGTTGAAGCATGTAACTTGCAAAACCGCGTTGTAATATATTTACCTCTGTATATGCTCGTCTATGTGATGGAGAAGGTGGTCTTGGAGAAATAAGTGAATCAGAAATAGCTGTTGGAGATCTTGAACGCAGTATCGGTGATTTTGAACGCAATGTCGGTGAATTTGAACGAACTTTTGGAGATCTGGAACGATATGTGTCATCGAAAATAACTCTTCTTTCACTATGACTATGCGTATTTCTATGGATTGAAGGTAATCCTTCGCGTTCAAGCCGGTCAAGGTAGCTCGCCATCTTCAAAATGTAGTCTCTTTCACGATTTATTAATCAATATTTTGATGTTTTATTCGTTGTCATATACAGCCGAGCATATTCTGTCTTCCGTTGTGTTAACAGCGCATAGCAACACAATCAACACGAGCAGCGGAAGAGCACCTGTCCGAGATTTCAACGAGATTTCAGGAGGTCGTATTTCTGAAGGTCACTCACATCTTCAGAACAACCAGGATGGCCTACCGATTTTCTCATCTAAGTGGAAGACTGGTAGCGTCATCACAACTTGCAGCATACAGACCGCAGGTATAAATAATTACCAATAGATGATATCGTTCTTTGGATTTCCTCCTTCAAGTGAGAAAATACACAATGGAAGAACTTCAAGTAGGAACAGGATTTCAATAAACACACAGTACTGACAATAGTAATCCCTTTTGGGATGCTGTGTCTGCTTCCATGTCGATCCGACCAAGATCCCACTCAAATCGATTTGACCTACATTTAAATTCAATCTGGCACCAATCCTCGTTTTATAATTTTTCGTGCTGTTTAGCAGGTTGGGAACTAGTCCAAATAATTATGAGGTCTTGGAAGGCTATTTTAAATTTTTGCTTTGACGCCTTCCTCTCGATGTAAGGCGTCAAAGAAAAAAATATAATAGCCTTTCAAGATGTCATAATTATTTGGACTAGTTGGGAACAACTCCTCAATCTGGCTCAAATGTTGAAATGAGGGATAACCCCTAAATGTGCAATAATCATTTATGAGGGGTAGATACTAGTATTCAAGTGATAAAAAATACATTTTTTTTAAAACAAGTCTAAGAACAAAAGGGCACATGTCAATATTATTTGCAGAAATTTAGCCCAAAGAACAATACATCTATCTGGTATTACATACATGTATATTGACAAAACATTTCCATGAATTTTGGAATATTCATGGACTTCAATCTTCTTTATTTTTTGAAAATAAGAGGACCCCTCTTTTTGAAAAGTTGTTCCAAATACAATGAATTTTCCCCCGTAGCGGTGGGGGCATTAAGTTTTACCCTTGTCTGTCTGTACGTCCCAAAATTTGTTTCTGTTCTTTAACTTTTAGTTTGCCTCAACCAAATGTTATGAAACTTATACATAATGCTTATTACCACAAAATACAGATCAAGTTTGAATTTTGTGGCGTCTCTTTTACCGTTTTAGAGTTATGCTTCTTTACAAATGAAAAAATTGCTGAACTTTTCGTTTCCGTTCTCGAACTTTAGTTTGCCTCAACCAAATGTTATGAAACTTATACACAATGCTTATTACCACAAAACTCAGATCAAGTACAAATTTGGGTAGGCTCACTTTTACCCGTCTTGATTTATGTCCCTTTATAACATTATATGCAAGCGGGGGCATCATCTGTGTCCCATGGGCACATTTTCCATTTATTATTTTTCTTTTCTACAGCAGCAAAATAACCCCTTGTCTGAGGGACAGTCCCTCATTCAAGGGATATCCCTCATTTTTGGGGTTGTTCCCAACCTGTTTAGAATGCATTGTGACATCACAATTTCCATTGGCATGCATAGTACAAATTCATTTGACGTACAAAAACATATGATCTGACGATATATTTTTGTCATTAACGAATTTTATGAATCAGGGTCTGTTCGCTCCCATTCATATTGGCCCCTTTTACATTCACACCCTTTCTAAAGTTTCGGTTTTAAATTATTTTTTAATCATGATTAAGTAAGTGTATCTTACATATATAAATGCTACTAGAACACACCCGCAAAATCGCGGGCTTTTAAGCTTGTAAACTGTTGTATTTTATTTATATGTTAATTGAAGTTCTTGGGTATGTTCCTCTTGCAAATGTTGGATTGTCAATGTATACATGCAGTTTTTGTTTTATAAAATTTGTAAACACTGGACAATGGAATTTTTACACCTTCAAACTATAGAGTATGAGTGCTGTCATTGGTCAGTCATGATGTAGTTGACTAGTTGGTGTGGGCGTGACTTCTATTTGTGGCTTGGTGACACTAAGCTATATACACAAATACTGTCTTAATCTGCCAATTTAGGGCTCGACAATAACGCTTGTCCGATTATTCAAACACTTAAACTGGATGACAGTTGAACAGAGAATAAAATATCACAAGTTTGTGATGACATTTAAGCACATTAAAAATGATGCTCCATCATATCTTACAAGTTTCATTATGTTTCAGACAGAAATCCATACCCCTTGAGAAATGCTGTTCAAGGAAACCTCATACTCCCTAAACCAAAAACAGAATTGTTCAAAAAATCTTTTATGTATTCTGGATCATTCTCAGTTAAAAAATATTACAAATGTTAATTCTTTCAAATACAAAATAACAGATCATTTATTGAAATCAACCTAGCTGTAAAAATAATATTGAAAACTGATTATGTCATCATGTTTATTTTTTCATAACATTTTATCAAGTTGTATTGAACGTTATTATCATACTTGACTTTTTATACTAATGTATGCAATGTATAGTTTGCATTTTGTTTGATTTTTCATGATGAGGGCCTCGGGGAAGATTAGTTATATAGCTAACTGTGTAACCCTCTTTAAATAAAGTATTGTTGTTGTTCTCGACTCATATTTTTGAAAAGTATTTCAAAAAATATAAATCATATTCTCTTCTATTGTTTTCATTCATTTTGTTCCTTGAATCAACTTAAAATGCAAAAAAGGTTATTATTAAGATTTTTTTGGACAAGTTACAATTTCATTCGGACAAGTAAGTTTTGGTATGTACTTGTCCTACTGGACAAGTTAAAAAAAAAGTTATTGTAGAGGCCTGCAATTGTAAAGAGGAGCTTGTTGGATCGCTACCCTTGGCTGGCAAAGAAGCTCTATGGAATGAAGATAATGTTTCTTTTGTTTAATCATAAAACTAGCAGTGGGAGTCCTAAGATTAATCTAAATTAATATGACATATTAGTAGAATACTCAAGAAAGACATGATAGGCATTTGTGGGCTGCCCACAATTGACAGGTGGGACAAGCAAAATTCGTCTGATGTGGTGCATATATGTTATAGACTGACATAGTTGATTGATTAAAAAGAAATTATTTCTTCTCTATATCATTCCTATATATTATGCCGTCACAGGGTGGAAACTTGAAAGGAATATTCAAAAGAGTAAGATGTTTTTGGCAAATTGTAAGACTTCTTAAATATTGCATGATTCATTTAATAGTAATAAACTAGTAATTTGTTTTATGTCAAGCAAGTATGACAGACTATGCTGTAAAAATAATTCACTATTAGCATAATATTTTTGGCAGTTTTGGACCCCTGATAATCAAAGTATAAAGTTGTAATAGAAATTTTCAGCAGTATAGCCAGTTATTTTTTTCAGGGAGTACAGGCATATGTTTTACCTAAAATAACACCAAAACCAGCTGCCTCTTCACAGCCACAGACAAGAGAAAGTAGTACATCTTATAGTGTGACTGATCCATTTGAAAATGGTTTTGCAACCGGTATTACCACTAACGCATGGCACAGATACAGAAATAAAGTACACAGAAAGAGGAAAGATGAAGTTCTATTTAACATAGTAGGTTTTCTTTTTGTCTAGACTGCAACATTTATGTTGTGAAAAGCGATACTTGGCGAACATAGATCCCTAGTCGTTGTCAGTATCAACTTTTAGATTCAGTCTGTGGTGAAGTTTTTTTTTAGACATCAATAACTTTGTCCAAGCTATATGGAATTTCATGAAATTTAATATCCATAGCAAAATTTAAAAAATTTATATTTAAATTTTTCTGCATTTTACTTATAAATGGACTTGGAATGATGAGATCTACCTATTGTCCTTTTTCTTCCAAACTGTCAGATGACTTTTTATAGGAGTTATTGCCCTTAAATGACAAATTTTCCCAACTTTTAAAATTTTTGCCTATTCTCTTGAAAGTAATAATAGATAGCAAGAAACTTTAAAAAGAAAAAATGATCAGCAAGATAAGTTCTACAAATAAGTCAACATGGTTGAAAACGTCTGATGACCCCTTATAAGTAATTGGAGTCATTGCCCTTTAATGACGATTTTTACTATTTTTTTGTGTTTTTGCCTTATATTTGAAAAACTATAATAGATAGGTAGAAACTTAAATAAGCAAAAATGATCAGCAAGACAAGATCTACAAATAAGTGAACATGGTTTAAATCGTCTGATGACCCCTTAGTGGAGTTGTTCTCTTTTAAACGATTTTTTTTTCATTTTTTTGCGTTGTTGCCTTCTATCTGAAAAACTGGATTAGATCGATAGGAACTTGAATAAGCAAAAATTATCAGCAAGACTAGATCAAGAAAGAAGAGATTTTGTCATGAATTCTATTCTAGTCCACAAAGATGGAGAGTATCCATTGTTGAAGAATTAGATTTCATTGACCTTTAGAATAGTCTGAATAATCTGCAGACATCACAATTTCTGTATTACCTCATGTTCTTTTTAATATAAGGCTAATTGATATGATTTATGAATTGTAGAAACAGAATGATGCTGGTATTGAAGTATTCTTTTTCAAACCAAGAGAAAAAGTAATGTACTATCTTGTACACTTAATTGCAGCTTTTGCAATGTGTCTAAACATATATATTTGGAATACTACAAATAGAAAAATGGACTGGGAAAGATTTGGAAAAGTCAAGGTAAGTTTAAGAGTGGTGATTTTTATCAGCTATTTTTTTCTTGATAAAGAATCAAAAGTTGTGTCACTTGAAAACTGGCTAAAAAGCTTTGTAGTTTTTATTGTAACAACCTTGGGTTAAATACCTTGTCAATCAGTAGAAAATTTAACCCATTGAATTATTAATGAATGGATATATGTCGAAACCTGTCTATAGTTGAAGCTTGTAAGTTGTTAAGTTGACCTCTAGATGACTTTTGAATATGTGTGTAGTTTGCTTGCTGTCTCATTGACATTTACTATTTGATGTCTGATACTTTTGATTTGCCAACACACTTTTTATACGACCGCAAAAAAAATATATTGGTATGACGGCACGTCATCGTCGTCGGAAGACACATTGGTTTTCGCACAATAACTTTAGTTTAAGTGAATGGATCTCTATGAAATTTTACCTTAAGGTTCAATACCACAAAAGGAAGGTTGGGATTGATTTTGAGTGGTATGATACCAACAGTTAAGGAATTAGGGGCCAAAAATAAGCATTTTTCTAGTTTCCAGACTATAACTTGTGGAACGGTGTATGGATCTCTCTGAAATTATACCACAAGTTTCCATACCACAAAGGGATGGTTAGGATTTGCTTTAGGGGGTTATGGCTCAAACTGTTTAGGAATTAGGGGCAAAAAAGGGGGTAAAACAAGGGTGTCCTGGTTAATGGACAAATACTTTAGTACAAAACATAATTTTAAGCAGGGTAATGGAGGTAATTCAAATGATTAATTCAAATACATCATTTGAATGACCTCCCTTACACTGCTTTTAAATTATGTCTAAAGTAATGGTTAATGAACAATTAAGATAATTTAAAAGCAGTGTAAGGGAGGTAATCCATATACAACATTTTGATTACCTCCCTTACACTGCTTTTAAATTATGTTTAAAGAAATACATATTTATAAAGGAAGACCAGTAAAAATATAGCAACAGTATAGTGTATTGCACAAAAGCAAAAAAAAAAAGGGGGGTTGGTAAATTTTTTATTTTTTTTGTGGGGGGAAGTGGGGTCAATTCACAACAGCAAAGTGTATTGCACAAAAGCAAAAAATTGAATATAAATTCAAATCATATAACCAATTCTAAGTTCTTTGACTACTGTTATTCTGTGTCAGAAACCTTTTATGTGTCAAATATTTAATTACAGTCCAAATTAAGACCTGTATCAAGCGCGAATATTGCGTCCATTTTTGGCCCAACTGTTCATGGTTGGACCTCTGTGGTCGTATCCAGCTGCGCTCGGCAAAGCTATTTAAATTTTGTTTAAAACGGCTGTTTTATTAGATTTGGAAGGAAAAAATTACTATATTTAATGCTTTTGATGGTCCTTTTAATTCAGTTTACAGTTTTGACTTTTTGACCCTCTACTCCTCACCTGAACACCAAATATTAAAGTTAACTCATTGGATTCATTTTAGAATAATTATTTATGATATATCATTTATATTTGGCATGCAGTTTTAGGTCAGTGGCAGATCCAAGGGAAGGGGGGCGTATACATGGTATAGGGCATTTGCCACCCTATGATCGCCAAAAAAATTAAAAAAAATATTGTGTTTTTCATTATATAATATATAATATATAAATTGTTAGTATAAAATACTCCAAAAAAATCTTCAATTATGGGAATTATGCCCCCCTTTCAAAAAGTCCCATCTGCCCCTGATGAGTCCCTGGAGTGAATTTTATATAAGAACTAGACTAGACCATTGATATTTGATGTGCTGTACATGTAGTATCATGATTGCTTTGATTTAGTTACAAGTTGAATGTGCAATTAGTTATTCTTATACTTATACACCGTTAACTGTCATGAATTTATGCATTTCTTATATTTAGATTTAGCTGCATAATTTAGATTACATTATACATGCATTAAATTATTCATTCTTTTCATTTCAGTATTAAAAGAGAGTGCTAATTAGTATGGTATGTGGAGGACATGTCAGTTCTTTAGAAGAGACAAATAGCATCTTTTGATCTATAAAGTTGATTGAATGACAATGATTTTTATTAAATGTGTTGTACACTTTCTGTATCTTATTATACTTATTTAACATTATTTTTCTATATCATATTGGTCAACCTGTCCATCCATCTGTCCCTCTGTCTGGACTAACATATCCATCCTTTGTTTGATTCACCTTAAACTTTGTAGAATTATTGATCATGATATGCTACATCACAATGTAAAGGATTATTTATCACAATACATGTATCTAGAATAATGACCCTTCATCTGAGTAATTTTTATACAACCGAAAAATTTGCTGTCGTATAATGGTATGGCGTTGTCTTCATCTGAATACATTTGGTTTCCAGACAAAATTAGTAATAAGGGGTCAATAAAGGGTAAAATACACTCAATTTTTATACGACATCGTCAGTGTCGTCCGAAGACAGTTGGTTTCCGGACAATGACTTTTAGTATAATTAAATAGAAATCTATGAAATTTAAACACAAGGTTTATAACCACAAAAGGAAGGTTGGGATTGATTTTAGGGGTTATGGTCCTAACAGTTTAGGAATTAGGGGCCAAATTTATTATGTGTCAGAAACCTATTATGTGTCAAATATTTAATTACAATCCAAATTCAAACCTGTATCAAGCGCGAAAATTGTGTCCATTTTTGCCCCAACTGTTCAGGGTTGGACCTCTGCGGTCGTATCCAGCTGCTCTCGGCGAAGCAATTTATTAAAACTTGTTTGAACTGATTATTTTTTACCTATTTCAATGGGGTTTAAATAATCTTGAAATATTGGGATTCTTTGATATGCTTATTTATCAAATCATCAGCAGTCTCATTTAAATATATCAATCCACTTCAATAAAAATTTAAACATTTCCCACATATACTTTAAAACAATTTCCTCCATATTGACATTTCTGTTCAAAGGGAAATATCTCAAACCACAATTTAATGAAAATCCACTCTAAAAGGCGGGCAAAAGATACCAAAGGGACATTCAAACTCGTAAGTCGAAAATAAACTGACAATGCCATGGCTAAAAAAGAAAAAGACAAACAGACAAACAATAGTACACAAAACACAACATAGTAAACTTAAGACTGAGCAACATGAACCCCACCAAAAACTGGGAGTGATCTCAGGTGCTCGAGAAGGGTAAGCAGATCCTGCTCTGCATGTGGCACCGGACAAGTTGCTCATGTTAGTATAAACCTGGTAATAAGTTTATAATTCGGTAGGTCACATTTAGGGAAAAGGGGACTGGATTGTAGTTACAACAATTGGAACATATCCGCTATCATCTGTGAAACAGATATTCCATAACGGTCAACCAACTCGTGATGGTTTCCGTAATATTTAAAAAGGGATGATTTCAACTTCACCTCTTGGAACTCTTGGTTTAATAGCTTCCTTGTGAGCAGCAACCCTCTATCAAGGTAATCATGATAGGAAATACAAGCCCTGAAATATCATATCAACTGGGAGATATGTACTCCATATGTAGGTGCTGCTGGAATGTTGCTACATAGAAATGGAAAGTTCACATTTGGGAAGCTGAAATCATCTCTTTTGTCGTAAAGTTTTGTTTTCAACCGACCCTCATTGTCAATTTCTAGATGTAAGTCAAGATATGAGGCAGACAACTGTATTTGTTGTATCCTTTATATCAAGTTCGATGGGATAGATGCATTCAACAGTCACCAAATTTAGAATTATTTAGTGAGAGAACATCATCTTTATTGCGGAAAGTAAAGTTAAAGGATACTGCTAACTTCTTTTCTTTCTTTCCGGTATGAAGTCTGCCTTAGTATGTTATGGCGATGTCAGCATCCGAAGACATTTTGGTTCACAGATGACAACTTGAGTATAAGTGTATGGATCTCTATGAAATTTTAGCACAAGGTTCCATTCCACTAAAGGAAGGTTGGGATTGTTTTTGGGGGGTATTGTACTAGCGTTTTTTGTCGAGCCTGCGACTTTTGTCGCAGAAAGCTTGACATAGGTATAGTGATCCGATGGCGGCGACGTTAGCTTTTTTCTTAAAAGCTTTATATTTTAGAAGGTGGAAGATCTTTATGCTTCATACTTTGTATATGGATGCCTCATGTTACGAAGTTTCCGTCAGTCACATGTCCAATGTCCTTGACCTCATTTTCATGGTTCAGTGACTACTTGAAAAAAAAGTTAAGATTTTTTGGAATGTTAAATTCTCTCTTATTATAAGTAATAGGATAACTATTTTTGGTATGTGCGTACCTTGCTAGATCCTCATGCCCTACAGACAGTTTTCACTTGACCTCGACCTCATTTCATGGATCAGTGAACAAGGTTAAGTTTTGGTGGTCAAGTCCATATCTCAGATACTATAAGCAATAGGTCTGGTATATTCAGTGTATGGAAGGACTGTAAGGTGTACATGTCCAACTGGCAGGTGTCATCTGACCTTTACCTCATTTTCATGGTTCAGTGGTTATAGTTAAGTTTTTGTGTTTTGGTCTGTTTTTCTTATACTGTATGCAATAGGTCAACTATATTTGGTGAATGGAATGATTGTAAGGTGTACATGTCTAGCTGGCAGGTGTCATCTGACCTTGACCTCATTTTCATGGTTCAGTGGTCAAAGTTAAGTTTTTGAGTTTTGGTCTTTTTTTCTAATACTATATGCAATAGTTCAACTATATTTGGTGTATGGAAATATTTTATGATCTATATGTCAGTCACGCAGGTTTTATTTGACCTTGACCTCATTTTCAAGGTTCATTGCTCAGTGTTAATTTTTTGTGTTTTGGTCTGTTTTTCTTAAACTATAAGCAATAGGTCAACTATATTTGTTGTATGGAAGAATTGTTATCTGTACATGCCTGCCTAGCATGGTTCATCTGACCTTGACCTCATTCTCGTGGTTCATTGGTCAATGTTTAGTTTACTTGGTTAATGTTAAGTTTATGTGACAGTTGTAATAAAGCTTTATATTTAGGACTATCAACATAATATCAATGATTAGTAAAGAAGGCGAGACATTTCAGCGTGTGCACTCTTGTGTAATTAGGGTCCAAAAAAGGTAAGTTTTCTATTAAATTTTAGCACAAAGTTCTACACCACAATAGGAAGGTTGGGATTTATTTTGAGGGTTATTGTAGTAGCTGTTTAGTAATTAGGGACCAAAAAGTGGTCAAAAACATGCATTTTTCATGTTTCAGGACAATAATTTTTGTATAAGAGTATGGATCTCTATGAAATTTTACCACAAGGTTCCATACTTTTAAAAGAAAGTTGGGATTGATTTTGGGGGTCATTGCCCAAACCGTGTAGGAATCAGTGGCCAAAAAACTATGATTTTCTGGTATCTGGACAATAACTTTAGTATTAGTCTATGGATTGCTATTTTATTGTGCCACAAGGTGTTATACCTTAAAAGGAAGGTTGGGATTGATTTTAGGGGTTATGACCCTAGCGGTTTAGTTAAAAGGGGCCAAAAACAATACTTTTGTAATAATTTGTATAAATTGCTTATTTCTTGACCAATTTCAATGGGGTTTAATTCAAAGTCTTGAATTCTTGGGGTTCTTTGATATGCTGAACCAACCGGGTATTTAGAATTTGGAATTTGGGCCCTGTTTATGAATTGATCCAAATTAAGGTCCAAAATTAAACTTTCTTTGATTTCATCAAAAATTGAATTATTGGTGTTGTTTGATATGCTGAATCTAACCGTGTTTTAGATTTTTAATTTTGGTACCTGTCTTTAAATTGGTCCACATTAAGGTCCAAAGGGTCCAAAATGAAACTTTGTTTGATTTAAAAAAAAAATGAATTCTATGGGTTCTTTGATATGCTGACTCTAAGCGTGTATTTAGATTTTGGGCACAGTATTCAAGTTGGTCCAAATTGGGGTCCAAAATTAAACTTTGTTTGATTTCATCAAAAATTGAATTATTGGTGTTTTTTCATGTGCCCAGTCTAACAGTGTTTTAGATTTTTGATTTTGGGCCTGTTTTTTAAACTGGTCAACATTAAGGTCCCAAGTATCCAAAATTAAACTTAGTTTTGATTTTAACAAAAATTGAATTCTTGGGATTCTTTGGAATGCTGAATCTAAGCATATAATTTATTTTTATTTTTAGGCACAGTTTTCAAGTTAGTTCAAATTGGGGTCCAATATTAAACTTTGTTTGATTTTAACAAAAGGGAATATAAGGGGTTCTTAGATATGCTGAATTTAAGTGTGTATTTAGATTTTGGATTTTGGGTCCTTTTATCAAATTGGTCCACATTGAGGTCCAAAGGGTCCAAAATTAAAGTTTGATGGATTTCTTCAAAGATTTAATTCTTGGGGTTCTTTGATATGCTGATTCCAACCATGTATTTAGAATTTGGGTATTGGACCATAATTGGTAAATGTCCAATTTTAAATTATTTAAGTACTTAGACCACATTCATTCTGTGTCAAAAATTGCTTTATCAGAATCTAAAGTTAGAGCTATATTGCACAATTAATAGAAATTTTAAGATGAGTCATAGTTAAAAATAGATATAGCATCATATTCATAATTGTGTATAAATATAGTTTGAAATTTACTGTTCATTATTAGATATTTTGAAAAGAGGTAAGATTTAGAGATTTTTCAAAGACATTATTAATGATGAATGATATTTTCGAAATTGTTTTTTTTTCATTTTTTTTGTAAATTTTTTTAAGAACTTAGTGGTAGGTTTGTTTGTTATTCTGCATAAATTAATTTTCAGAATGATATATATATATACTTTTTTAAGAAGCAAACACCTTTAAAAACTTAGATAATATTGTCCATTAACAATAAATAAATAAAATTCTTGGTGTACTAAGATATTATGGTCCATTAATAAATAAATAAATTAAATTCTTGGTGTACTTAGATATGCTGAATCTAAACGTGTATTTAGATTTTGGATATTGGACCATAATAGGTAAAATCCAATTTCAAATTTTTCAGTTCTTTGACCACATTCATTCTGTGACAGAAACCTATGATGTGTCAAATATTTACTCACAATCCAAATTTAGAGCTGTATCATACTTGC